GGGGTGCAAGGGAGACTAGCTATATAGTGACAATACTAAGTTGAATATTTATAAGATAAATCAATCCCAACCCCACAACCTTCTCTAACCCTAACTGCTAACCATAATCTTTTGAAAGTTAGAAAAGGTGAAAAAAAGTTTAAAAATTTTTTTAAGAAAAAATGCTAAAACACAACCCAAACCTGTACTGTGTCCCACTTTCCACATGCAGGGCCGTTAGCATTGCTTGTGCAAATAAAAGTTTTTATATAACTATAGTCACTATATAGCCGACAATTTACTATATACCCGGCTGTGTTGTCACTTTGTATGATGTGACAAAGAATGCTCAGATTGCAGTCTCTTCTCAACCACAATCAACTGTCAGAAAGCCACCATTTTTTATAATGAAACAATCTTATATTATGAAACAATCCTATATTAAATTCTAAGATGTCCTGTGACTAATATACCATATAACAAAATTTTAATGTAACAATTCTAAATGCTTTGACTACAAATGTACCATATAACAAAAATATTAACATTCCATATGTATATAATTATGAATTACGGTGGCCCACAAGGGCAACGTCAATAATAAATCAGATATCAACTTTAAATTCATAACTTCAAATTCAAATTCCTCACTCCAAATCGATAATTACCACTTTAGGCTTAAGGTGGCTCCCGACAGTTATAGTCCAATGATCTTTTCTGTGTTGGTGCAATGTACTCAGGCGAATAAGATGCCCGTGATGTTACTCTGAGTGCACATCCACACCGGGCAAGCCTGAAAATATGCCTGACCATGGTGGGAATCGAACCTATGACCTTTGGAATACTAGCCCAATGCTCCACCAACTGAGCTACGTGATCTGGTCGGTTCGCGCATGTGATATTTCGGAACAGAATCTAGTTCCTTCGATATCAATGTAATCTAGTAATAATCATATTTTCTGTGTTGGTGCAATGTACTCAGGCGAATAAGATGCCCGTGATGTTACTCTGAGTGCACATTGCAAGAGAAAATTGGTGAACTACAACAATTCGATTTCTGTTTTATTTGTTTCAAACAAAAGCAAACCAAATGACGTTTTACCAAGTTCTTTTAAATTCGCTAACATGCAGTTTAAAACATTTATATAGATCAGACGTCATCCTCACAGAGTTGTTTTTGTATTTTTATCATAGAAATAATAGACATAGAATGCATGCTCCTATCTTTTCAAACATTTTCAAAAATTATGTCTCCACAAAATGGCAGGATTTATAAGGGCATTATTTTGGCTAGTCCCAGACTCCTGCAGCAAGGAATTTCGCAGTTATGTGAGTATCAGCCTATGGTATCAGCATCCATCAACACACAAAACAGAGATATGTGCTCGGAGATTGTTTCCACTCATCATCAAACCTGCATAAATCTCCACCGTGCGAATTCCAAAATATTAATGCATGGATCAATTCCTGTGGTT